CACAAATGTAAAATTTTATTCAGCTAGAAGTTTACAAACCAGTCAAGTAAATTAGCGCTGTAGAGTTTATCCAGAATGTTGAATTTAGGAAAAGGTAAGTGTGCTAAATATTCAAATTATCTCCACTGTTAGTGGATTATACATGTATATAATGATGCTAGTAAATTAATAAATTCTGATTTTTATACAAAAGAAATGAACAAAGCTTATAACTGCCTATTTTAATAACTTGAATGTCAAATATACTTTGTGTTTACGCTACCATAGAAGCTAACCAATGAAAATGAATGATACTCCAGGATTTGCTAACAGCATCTTTATATTTGGAGCAAAATGCCATGTAAAAAGTCAATAAATTTATTGGATTTTCTTAATCGAATAAATCATTTTATTGGGTTTAAAATGATGTTAAAGTCAAACTAAGCTAAAATAATTTTTTATGGAAGTAGCTGAAATTTTGTATGCATCATAAAACTGCAGTGAAAAAGTATTCACTCCTTCTAGATTTCTTCTCGTTTTTGCATTTTTGTCACACCTCAATGTTCCAGAATATCTAATAAAATATGAATGCAAGATTACTAGAAATAATCCCAAAATTAAAGCATTTCTTGGTGAGAACTTGTCTGACAGCATGAAGTAGGCTCACAGTTTGCAAAAAGCAACATGAAAACAGACCAGAAACAAAGTTCAGTTCCTGCAACAGTGGAGGTCGGAGCATCAAGAAGAGCGAATGATGTCCATGAAAACCTGGAAAAGACTCCAGCCGACCTCGGCTTCACCTTGGAACCTGGAAAGAGTCTCAGGTGGAAACGTTTACGCCGCGGTGTTCCTGCATGGAGGAGAGATGGAAGAATGTGCAGAAACATCTGGGTAGAGTCCCTGAGAGAACAATGTGAAGTTAAAGGAAAACGGACTGAAAAACTGAACTACACTGTAGGAAAGCTGCCGATAGCGATTCTTGAGGACCATAAAGAAGAACCAGTCCTACAGGATTCACAGCATAAACTCTTTACTCTGGGTTTCTAACTACACATCCCAGAATCCTCCACTCTCCCTGCTTGGGTCTCTGCTCATCACAGTGATTTAAATCTGTAAATACAACCACCTGATTAACCCTTGCAGCTTATGAAGCAGGTGCAGGAAATGCGATGTACTGAAGTTCTGAATGATAGTTTGAAACTCATGGTTGAACTTTTTAAAGACTTTAACAAGTGGAACCACCAGCATTGTGTCAGAAACGTCCATCTGACACATTGATGTGTTTTATTTAAGAGTTAGATTTGAGTAAAGTGGGTTGTTTATCAATAAGGAACAACTAATCAATAACAAGTACAAAAAAGCCTAACTAATCAATAACAAGTACAAAAAAACCTAACTAATCAGTAACAAGTATAAAAAAATCTAACTAATCAATAACAAGTATAAAAAAACCTAACTAATCAATAACAAGTATAAAAACCTAACTAATCAATAACAAGTATAAAAACCTAACTAATCAATAACAAGTATAAAAAAACCTAACTAATCAATAACAAGTATAAAAACCTAACTAATCAATAACAGGCATAAAAAAAACCTAACTAATCAATAACAAGTATAAAAACCTAACTAATCAATAACAGGTATAAAAAAAACCTAACTAATCAATAACAAGTATAAAAACCTAACTAATCAATAACAAGTATAAAAACCTAACTAATCAATAACAGGCATAAAAAAACCTAACTAATCAATAACAAGTATAAAAACCTAACTAATCAATAACAAGTATAAAAAAACCTAACTAATCAATAACAAGTATAAAAACCTAACTAATCAATAACAAGTATAAAAACCTAACTAATCAATAACAAGTATAAAAACCTAACTAATCAATAACAAGTATAAAAAAACCTAACTAATCAATAACAAGTATAAAAAACGTAACAACTAACAACTAACCAGGAACAAGTATAAAAACAACTAACAACTAAACAAGAACATGTATAAAAAACCCTAACAACTAAACAAGTATAAACCACCTATCTCCCAAACATATTTAGAATGACCTTCTTCATGGCGCTGAATGTTGTCCACCGAGGCTGAAGTCTCTTCTCCATTATCATCAGGACGTTGCTCTCCATGATGGAGGTTCCTGCCTTCAGGAGAAACAGGATGTTCTCTACGTTCCTGCATTCCTTCATGATGTCCTGGACGATGTTCTTGGCCTGGCGCTTGATCTTCTCCGGCCTCATTTTCTGGATGATGGTTTGGTTTTCGGTCCAGAGTTTCTCTGTCAGCCGTTCACAGGCATCGCTGTAATTTTCTGCGGTGGAGAAACTCTGGACCGACATGTCCACCATCCTCTGGATGACGTCTCCTACCAGGCTTCTGACGGCTGCTTTCATCTTTTCCTCCATTTCTTCCTCAGGTTCCTCTCGGACGTCCAGAGGAACCGACGTCTCCACGGCCTCAGGTTCCTCTTGGACGTCCAGAGGAACCGACGTCTCCACGGCCTCAGGTTCCTCTTGGACGTCCAGAGGAACCGACGTCTCTACGGCCTCAGGTTCCTCCTGGACGTCCAGAGGAACCGACAACTCTACAACCTCAGGTTCCTCTTGGACGTCCAGAGGAACCGACGTCTCTACGGCCTCAGGTTCCTCTTGGACGTCCAGAGGAACCGACAACTCTACAACCTCAGGTTCCTCTTGGACGTCCAGAGGAACCGACAACTCTACAATCTCAGGTTCCTCTTGGACGCCCAGAGGAACAAATGGTTCTACAATCTCAGGTTCCTCTTGGACGCCCAGAGGAACCGACAACTCTACAACCTCAGGTTCCTCTTGGACGTCCAGAGGAACCGACAACTCTACAACCTCAGGCTCCTCTTGGACGCCCAGAGGAACCGACAAACTCTACAACCTCAGGCTCCTCTTGGACGCCCAGAGGAACCGACAACTCTACAACCTCAGGTTCCTCTTGGACGCCCAGAGGAACCGACAACTCTACAACCTCAGGTTCCTCTTGGACGTCCAGAGGAACCGACAACTCTACAACCTCAGGTTCCTCTTGGACGCCCAGAGGAACCGACAACTCTACAACCTCAGGTTCCTCTTGGACGCCCAGAGGAACCGACAACTCTACAATCTCAGGTTCCTCTTGGACGCCCCAGAGGAACCGACAACTCTACAACCTCAGGCTCCTCTTGGACGCCCAGAGGAACCGACAACTCTACAACCTCAGGTTCCTCTTCCTGAAGCTCTGGAGTTTCCGGGACGTCCAGAGGATCAACGTCTACCATGACCAGAGTTTTGATGTCTGTGGCCGGCTGATAATCTTCTTCTGATAATCCCTCAGTGTCAGAATCTCTGTCTGCTGGAAGATCTGTTGACACGTCATCGTCTTCCTCCTGGATGTCCTCCTGGTCTTGACTCACAGATGTTTCTGGTTCTTCAATTATAATCATTGGAGCCACCTTCGCTGAATGTTTGCCAATTAGAGTTCTAAAAAATCTCTTAATTGTTCCTGCCAGACCTTTAGATTTTTTCTTGGGCTCGCAGGTTTTGATGTCAGCTGATCCATCGAAAAAGTCCTGCATGATGAGGACGGTTTCATCAACCATGTGGCTGATGATGGACCTGCTCGCCGCCTTCTGATCATGTTCTGAATCTGAGCTGTTTACTTTCAGCAGATGTTGTACGATCAGACGGTTCAAGTTCTGCGTGTGTTCATTGTTCAGGTCTTTGTCGATGTCCAGAACTTTTGCAAACGTCTGAGGAACCGTGTTCCCCACGGCCGCCTTCAGGTCCTTGATGGTCCGTCTCTCTTTGGGGGCACCAAGCAGAACGTTGGCCGTCAGCAGCTCCAAGATGGTACCAAAGGTGTCCTGTAGAGCAGAGGTGGTGCTGGGTTCTGGGTTCCCGTTTGCCAGTCCCTTCCTCTCCTTGGGGGTGAGGTTTCTGATGAAACGGGTCGACCGCAGGCATCAGGGCTTCCATGGTGATGTTCTGTGTCTCGGATGCTGAACTCTGACTAGTTGGCATCATGATTCGTTGGGCTGAAGATGAGATTCGGTTTTGTGCAATGATAGAGAGACCGGCTCTGCGAGGAAAAAGTGCAAAATGACGTTTAGGGGAAAAGAACGAACAAATAAAGACGATGATGTCATAGGCATCAAACCCGCCCACACAGCAGCGTTATAGCCTCACGTCAGCAGCCACGTTACTGCGCATGTCAGATGATCGCCTCTCTTCCCTGCATCTCCCGCAGCTTTATTATTATTATTATTATTATTATTATTATTATTATTATTATTATTTTTATTTTTTCTGGAGGCTCAGGTTGTTAAATGGAAGAAGCTTCAGCTTCATTTCCTCTAAATAAATTATTTTATTTGTCACCTCAATATGAATCTCGCGATATTTCGTCTGTTCATGAAAACACATCTCGATATTTCGGTTTATTTCTGTTACCGCGAACAAAATGGCTGTAATATCATCAGTTAATAGCATTTATGACTCGCCTGCATTTAGTGCCCATGAAGACAGAACAAGACAGAATAAGTGATAATAAATGACTGTTGCTGTGATAAACTGTAACAAACGTGTGTGTGTGTGTGTTAGGAAAATAGTTCAGATAAACAGTTAATAATATAACAGATTACTGCAGGCAGCTGAAATCTTTGGTTTCCCCAAAATAACTTAGTAAAAATAAAAATCTTCCGTTTCCGGATTCCTAATGGTTGTTGAGCCTCCAAAACGGAGCAGCTATTGTTTATTTAATCGGTCATATTTTACTTCTCTCTCTGCAGGATTGATTTTTCTTGCCCTGATATTAAAGGAAATATTTCCACCTGCAATCAGGAGGTTGCGGATCCAGGACTCAGACGGCGGATGGGTGGCGGGGCGTCCTGGACTCTGATTGGACAGCGCCTTCAGGCAGGGGGCGGGGCTTCCGTCTGGATGACGTGATGAAGCAGCAGCAGCAGCAGGAGGAGAAGAAGAAGAAGAAGAAGGAGAAGTTGTTGTTTAGTTCTGTCGGGGATGAGCTGATGAGCTCAGTGCAGCTGGCGGCCCGGTTCCGGTTCGGTGGAAATGTCTCTCTGGACTCTCTGGACTCTCTGTCTGCTCGGCTCGGTGACCAGGTGCGCCGCCTCACCTGAGCTGGACTCTGGAGGCGGGTCCGGATCCGGGATGCTGCCGACAGGTAAGAAGACTCACCTGGAGGAAACTCACCGGAAATCTGTTTTTATTTTATTCTATCATTTCCACCAATAAAAAGCAAAAATATGCTGCAAATATTCATGTTTATAAATTATAATAACTTCAATATTTAATGTTATTCTTTTAGTTTTGGGTTAAACATAAAATTATGAGCCATCAGTTCTTCATTAAATACATTAAAACAAGCTTTGATAAATCTAGTTTCATTACTATTTAAACTTTTTATTTATTAAATTGTGACTTTTTGCTTTTAAGCAACATTTTCCAGGGTTTCTGTGGTTCATTAGTGGGAATCAGCTGCTTTTTTCTGTTGTTTGTCCCAGTTTGGTTCTGATCCAGATGAAAAAGTGGTTCTGCAGCGTCAGACTGACCCAAAGCGCATCATAAACTCCTTGTTTTGCTGCTGCAGAGAAGAAAAGTCAAACCGCAGAGAAGAAATAAAGTTTCACTGCACAGAAAATTAGGTTTTAATGGCGTTTAACAAATTACTCTCTGCAGAGTTTCATGGACACTTGATTTGATTTAAAACTTCATTTTTCTGTCCAGTTGATGCACAACTGGACAGATTTAGATTGTGCTCAGATACTAAATGCATCAAAATGTCATTTTCTGCCTCTTCAGGCCAACAGGCTGCATTTGTTTTAAAGCTGATCAATATCTGCAACATTTGCTGCGATGCATCAATAATCATTTTATTTCTCGATTGAACCGTTTAGTTTATGAGTGTTAAAGTTAAAGAAAACCAGAAATCCTTACAGACAAATCAAATCAAATTAAAACAAATACTTTTAAATTAAATTTGAATAAAAATTATCATATAAACAAAAATATATATTAGACTAAATTATTAAATATACATAAAAAAACTAAATTAAACGTCTATTTTAAATTAAATCTTAAATAAATCAATTTAAAGTAAAAATGGATTTAAAACAAATGAACAAAATACATTCAGATTCAATAAATTGTAAAAATATAAATAAATTAATAACATATAATTTAAATTAGATAAAAAATTAATTGAAATATAAATAAAAACATAATTGATCAAAAATACAGTTGGATTAATAAAATTGTAAGAAATTCACATAAATAAAACCTAAATTAAATCTGAATTAAATTAGATCAAAATCAATCGATCAAAATAAAATATGATTGGGATTCGGCGCCGACTCGGCTGATCAGAACCTCGTCTGTGTGACTCACCGGGTCCAGAACGTCTGGATCCTTTTGTTTTGGCGGCGCTGGTGATGCAGCCACAGAACACATGTTGGGTTACAAGTCGCTAATTCATCCAAGACTCCCTGGACCGGATCCGATCCGGAACATTCAGCGGCTCGGTTGCAGCGGCCATGTTTGATCCGCTTCAATCCGACTCCGGTCCGTTTCTGTGGAACGTCTAGTCCGGTTGTTGAGGTGTGAACGCGTAATCGCAGCGAAAGAGCGAACTCTGGTCCGACTACAAACCTCGGTCTGAAGTGAACTCTGGTGCCGTTTGAATCCATGTGTGAACGCCAAGCGGACCGAAACCGCTCCAAAAGCAGGAAGTGGACTGCAGCGCAGGGAATTCTGGGTAAATGAATCAAAACAAGCCTGAGACCCTCGCTTTGGGTCGATCTAAAACGTAGTTCCCTCGTGACGCTAACTTTGTAATTCACAACCATTTTGGTAGGAACCTTAGAAAAAGTTTTTGCTTCGTTTCTGTTCAATGAAACGTAACATAATAACGACTTGAGTCCTCAGTGTGATACTAAGATAAACATCAGCAGTGCTTACTGCCGAATTAGCAAATTAGCTTAGCCAATGTAGCTCTGATGTGCTAGCTAGGACGGACATGTAGCCTATGTGTTCCTACATGTAATAACTCTGCCAGTCACCAGAACCTTGTTATTCACACAAACCGTTTGTACAAACGTTACAAATCCAGTCTAACATTGATTGTCTGCATCCATGGACTTCAGGTGAAGCTTTGTGCTGCGTTTGCCTACCAAGATGGCTGTCAGCTACAAAGTTAATGGAAGTGTGACGTCACTTGAAAACTACGTTTTCCATCAAAGGGCTGAAAAATGCCAAGATATAAAGATTCAACGGCGCTGTTATTCACGTTAAATCTGCTAGGAGATGTTGGGAACTCGGTTTGGGTTTCACAGATTATTTTCAGGTATCAGACATTCAAACCTCCACATCTGCAGTACGCTGATCTTTCTTGTTCTCTGGAACGTCGTGGATCTGTGTGAAGCGTTTTCCACGTCTGAAGTGTCTCATGAAGCTCAATGTTCACATGAAAGAGGCAGAGGATTGTGAGCACAGCTGCATTCCAGTAACCATATAACCTGCTTCGCTTTCAGCATTGCTGTCATTTTTAATCCCTCTTTTTACCTTTTATCTGTCCATCTGTCCTGCCCTCCAAGTATTATATCCAGCTGGGATGCTCTGATGTCTGGAATAGCTTTGTTTAACCTCTGACCCCAGGAGAAAGACATTGCTTGTGATGCAGAACAGCTGGGGGGGGAAGTTTTTGTGACTCTAAGACATTGCCCAGGGTTTCTCCAGCTTCACGAAGAAAAAAAAACTATAACCAGCTGCAGACGTTGCTGATTCTTCGAGACATTTTCAGAGCTTACAAGAGCTTCTGACTCTTGGAAAGCAAAGCAGAAAGACTAGAGTTGGCTGAGGTTTGGGTCATGACCAAAAGAACAACATCCCACGAACAACAACTCCTCAGTAAAACTCTGAAGCTGAGCAGACTGTTGCTCCCGCTAAAAATGAAGGATGTTGGGTTGTTCTTCTGGGGTGGACTCAAAATTTGATTAGCTTTACCAGTGGTTTGCACTGCTAATCAAAAAGTTAGCTGCACTAACCCTAAACATGCTACGTGGAAGAGTGTAACCCTAAACTACCAAGAAACATTAGTTCCACTAAAGCTAAAGTGCTTCACTAGCATTGCTATATAGCAGAAGCTAACCTTGAAGCGCTACACCAACATGTTATGAAGCAGAAGCTAACTTAATGCACTATTCATGAACAAGTTTTGCTAACACTAAAGTGCTAAACTAGCACCTACTTAGTAGAAGCTAATGCCAACATGTTGTGAGGCAGAAGCTAACTCAATGCACTGATAATAAACATCAGTTCTGCTAACACTGAAATGCTACACTGGCATTGTTATATAGCAGAAGCTAACCCTACAACACGTTATGAAGCAGAAACTAAGCTAATGCAGTAATACTGAACAAATTTCACTAACATTAAAGTTCTACACTAGCACCTTAATTAGCAGAAGCTAACCTAAGACATTAGGTCAGCTAACGCTAAAGCGCTACACCAAGCTGTTATTCAACAGAATCTAACCTAATGCACTAATCATAAACATAAATTGAGCTATGCTAACAAGGTATTTAGCAGACGCTAATCATAACTGTTGGTTCTATTAACGCTAAATGAAAACTGAACAACCATCAGTAACAGACGTCATTTCCTTTAGACAGAAAGAAAGAATGAAAAATGTTCTTGGAAAAATGTGGAAATTTCTGAGCTTGAAATGTAAAACATTTCCAAGATAAAATTCAGAAATTTTGAGATTAATCTCAAAATTTTCTAGAAATATTTTCCTGGAGATTTTGAGCTTTTTACAAAATTTTTTGGGAGAAGAATAGAAAATTTAAAGAAACATCTGAAGGTGGAATATTTTCTACTGTTAAAACTAATTTTCAAGGAATTGTTTTAGATTAATTTTAATCTTAAATCTTTTATTCAGCATTTTTTTAGCTTTCTGAAACCAGACATTTCCAAGTTGTTTTGTGGATAATTTTTTTAAAATTAATTAAAGAAACTTGAGTTTTATTCAGAAAACTTTCACATTTTTGAAACCAGAATTTTTAATGTTTTTTCCCAGAAAATGTGAGATAAATGAAAACATTTTTTTGTGGAAACTTTCCTTTGCCGTCCATCCTGGATGCAACGCGGCGTTTTCAGGAACCGGTTCTGATGGACGGAGGGGATGAGGAACAGCTGCAGACAGCTGCTGGTGAAGGAACATCTGGGTTCCAGAGGAGGTTCTGAAGGCGTCCCGGCCGTGGTACCAGGTTTTCAGCGGGTTCAGGACATGATGTCACTGGTAACATGAGGTCAGGTCCATGTGGAACCAATCATGTGATCCGCTGCGACCCGGAGGCCGTTAACATGCTCTGGTTCTGGTTCTGGGTGTGGGGTCGGGCTCTGCTCTGCGGTTTGAACAGGGATCGGTTCGGCCCACGTGTTGGACCTGAAGCTTCCCTCTGAGCGGTCCGTCGGCGTCCGGGGACGAAGGTTCCCCACATGTTTGCGGTTTTCTTATTACCTCGGTGACGAGGTAATGAGAAAACCGCAAACAGCAAAGCGCCTGCAGATGCAGCGAACACGATTACGTGAGAAAAAAGGAAGTTGATGATCTCGCTGTTGTTGTCCGACTGAAACGATGTTGCTGGACGTTAATTGCAACCATTCGCTGCAAAGAACTTGCTTAAAAATGTCCAACACCTGCCTGCAGATGTCGGCTGTGGAGGAGCTGCAGCTGCTGGTTCTACCTGCCGACCCTCAGGTCCATTTCAAATATATATATATATCTGTCTGGTGCTGAGTGGCGTCTTAATGGCGGCGCTTTATGTGCTAATCTGTCTCTTTTCCCTGATTCATCATTAAAGCCAAACGAAACCAGAAGGTTCGCCGTAGCCTCTGCAGCTGCGATGCTCTTAACGGCCTCAATGTGTTTGTTTTGCTTCGTAGACGGCGGCTGACGTAATGACGCTGCTTCCATCAGAACCCTGCCGGTTCTGTCCGTCAGACGCCGTCCTCGTTTAAAAGTCAGTTGAAGCCCTTGCAAGGTCTGAGACGCCGATACTCAGTTCATCGTTGAGCTGTCAAAACTTTTAATTGACACCAAAAATTTGCTGCCGGGTGAAATAAACATTCCTGTGTGTTGAACCTGCTGGTCCTGCAACCATC